TGAGATATATCAAAATCAAAAATGCGATATAAAGTTGGATAACAATAACAAAAATCATAAAAGAAGCTTAAACTAACCTTTAAAATAGCCTAGATGCACAAGGAGGAAGAGATAAAGTTGTTAGTAACCATCAATCTTAAACTTTGCTTGGGATTACGATGTATTTTAAGTAAATCTCTATTTTATAGCCAGATGAATAACTATTAAAATAATTGATTATTTTGATATTATCTTGCTTAAAATATATTGATTAACAAAGAAACTTTAGTTTGTTGTGTTTGATAGAAGGATTATAAGAATTGAGGATTATCAAACGATTACCAATAAAATTATGAGATGAAACTGATATTTTAGCATATATGAAGTAATACAATGAAACTGAATTGTTAAATAGAATAGGTGAGATGGTTGGACCAAATATTTTGAAAGGAAGATTATGACATAATTAAATTGATGGAGTTATATCATTAATTACAATCAATATCTAAACCTCCTATTAATTTTTTTACATCATTAATTTATGAAAATATTTAATTTGATAGTTGAACTTCTTTAATATTTGGAAGAGGAGGAATTTATGGCGTTGTTTAACCTTAGATTGATCCATAATAATTAAGTAATCCACATTCATCCTTGGAATCAATCATATCATTAATTTTTTCATTAAAATTTTACAATTTGTATTCAACTTCATTTAATCTATTAAAATATCCTTCTTACTATTCCATAATTGTGGGTAAATTATCTACTTTTTCTTAGAGTTCAGCTTATTTACTATTTAATAATTAATGCAAAGCCTTTTATATTATTATTTAAATAGATACCTAAATTTCTTAAGCTATTTATAATCTTAGATGGTCTTGAATGGCTTATTATTATATTTGTTTTTTTTCTAATTCTTATCTATAGTTTTCAACTTGCATAATGCATTAATTATTTTATTCTAACTATTCTTCTAATTATTTTCTCACAATAGGATATGATTTCTTTATTGTCTTAACTTCATGATTTTTATGAATCCCATGTATAATGCATTCTGGACAAATACATTTACTATTGCAATCAAAACAATAATATGACACTTCCTCATCAGGATGATCTATACAATTTCCTTTTATATTTTATATTAGGGAATTCTCACTTTATTGTTTACTCATATTTCTTTGGGATTAATGTACAGAAACTTTAGCTTCAATAGTTTATGCATTGTATTTTATAGATTTTTCTTTTGTATTCTCTTTATTTTCTTATCTTGTTTAAGAACGAGGTTTAAGTTATTTTTCTGATGATAAATTTGATTTCTATTATGATGCTGGTTTACGATTAGATCTATCTTATAAAGCAGTTGTTAAATGAAGTTTTTCTAACTCATAAACACTATTCGCGTCTAACTCTGTATTTGATGAACAAATGTCACAAACAAAAAACTATTTATTTACTCAATTTAATTTACTTTTTTGCTTCTTTTAGGTTATTATTATGAAAATGATTTAGCTGCACAAAGCAAACATAAATCATGACTGCATGTCAGCATTAAGATATCATCTGGTACTTTTAAACATCTACTACATTTTGAAACATTCATCATTTTTAAATTGTGTATGTTCGTTAACTAATTTTATGAAAATAATAAAATTATAAATTATTTGCATTTCTATCAATTTTATATTAAATAAACAATGTATGATTATTCACAAATATCTAAATGATTTATTAACTCTATCAAATGTAAATAGCAAATAAACCTGATAGTATTTCATTAATATCTTAATATTTTGTAAATTAATTTAATTTTAGCATTCTTTAATTTAAATCTCTCATATCCTTTAAATATCTAAAACTCAATAGATAATTTTATAAATGCAAAAGTTCTTAATCATCATAATTATCATAAAAAGAAATAATTGGTACTCCATTCTCAATCTATTATCCAAAAGAGTAAGAAGCATTGTCTACTAGAAGCACATTTGATAATTTCCTATTTCCTAATACTCTAAAAATATATATTCTTTACCTTAAATCTTTTACATAAGCTCCTTCAGTAGTTTGTAAACAATTTTCCCTAAAAAGTCTGTGAGAAATCCATTATTTTTTAGGATCCAAATAATCAATCACAATATTTGCATAACTTGAATGTGATGCAGTAAAAATAATTATTTCAAAATGTTTAGAGAGTGTCTAAAGCACTTTCTAAGCATAAGGTCTTATATTTATTGATGCTTGAACTGTTTCTCCATTTGGAAATGTAATTGGAAGAATGACATCACCAACCATTTAAGTATTTTCATTACAATGAATCAATGTCTCATCTAAATCAAATATAATTGTTTTTAAATTATTAGCTCTTGGAAGATTCACAATCTTTTCTTCATCAAAATTTAAATCAAGTTAACTTGCAAATAATAAACCCTTTAATAAATCTCTGTTTTTACTTAGAAGGTTTATTAAAAGTGATCTCTTATTCTGTCATCATTTTTATTTGGTTCTTACTTCCTTAAAGATTATATAACCGAAGATATATAATATAGGAACTAACTATGATAAATAATTTACAGATTCACTTTATTAAGTCTCACTAATCTTATTAAAATGAGTCTATTTTATTTCATTTGATTATTATCTATCAGACTTTATAAGTATACTATTTATGAGTTAATTTTTTTAAGTCTTCATATTATTTCCATTTAACTAAGTTACAAAATCTTTAAGTTGCATTCCTTTCCTTTCTTAAGTTTACTTAATTGAATTTGTATCATAATTTTTAATATCTTTGATTTATGTATAAATGTTATAAATTTAATTTATATCCCTTGCTGATTTCTACTAATCTGTATTTTTATCATTATTTAATTCATTCACTTACATAGGGAAATATTTAGACAACAAGCCTTGTTATTTTTATTTGTTTCTTTCTGTTTTATTATCCAAAAATTATTGATTGCTAAATTCTGGTGAATCCTTGGATTCTTTATTTTTTTATTTATCTAAATAGTTTTTCATTAATTTTAAGTTTGGCTTCTTTTCATCATAATTTTCAAGAGTATTTAATTTTAACTAATAATTAGATCCTTAATCAGTTAACTTACCAATCTACTCTTTAACTTATTTAGATGATATATGACGTTATTAATAACTACTTTACTAAAGTTATTAAATATATGATGAATTTTTCATGTCTTTTAAATAAGAATATGTATTCTTTTGGTTTTAGTAAGAATTTTTATCATTTGCTGATGATGCTCTATAAAATTATTAAACAGATAATGATTTCTGCATACCACTATTTAAACGAAAATCAGTCTTTTATTAAGATTGGTTGTTAGTATCTCTATTTTAAAGTTATTTCTTCTTTTATAATACAGCATATGAGTTTTCCTTATCAATCTAAATTCCAAATTTGGCATTATCAAATTAGGTCTACTTCTACAGTAAATCTATATTCAAAATATTATTGCACTTAATTACCTGAATATGAATAATGAAGAGTGGTCTTTTACATGATAGGTGATATTAATGAAAAAAGTCTGTTTAATTTAATATTTTTATAATTCTTTAAGAGAACATTAGTTTTATTCATATTTAGAAAAGTATAATTCTCTTTTAGTAAAGAATCTTATAATGTTATCTAGTATTTCTAAGTGAAAATAAATAAAATATTTAAATGAAGTAAATTTAAATATCATATTATCCTTTTTATTCTTCTTATTATTCAAAATCCTATTATTCATCTTTCGTTTTTCATCTCCTCCATAATAATAAACCAATCGAGTAATTTCTTTTCTAATAATTTCTTTATAAGGATTTATTTCATCATCTATTTCATTCTTTATTAATTCATATACTTTCCTTAACATCTAATTTTTTAGTTACATCTCATCTTTTTAAACTTCTTTTTTTTATTAAATTTTAATTTATTTTGTATCGACTCCTAACCATTAACAATATAATTTTGAATAAAAGAATACTCATAAGACTTTATTTCAAATCATGATAACCAATAAATTTAGATTAAAAATTTTTCTCATTCTTCTATAATTTCTATTCACTTTTTATTAATTATTCAATAATCATTCTCCAATTTGTAATACTTAAAATATTTTTTAATTCTTTATGTTTAAAATCTTTGAAATCAATAAACTTGCTTGAGATCTTAAAGGTTATTTGAAGATTTCTTTTATCATATTGAAAATTTGATTATTGAGCTAATTCTAATCCAATTATTAAATTTTCATATTACTTCCAGAATTTTTTTTAAAACAGTATTTAATTAATCTTCATTATTGATGAAATAAATACTATTCAGATATTTTTTAAATCCATTTTCTCTAAAAATTCAACAAAAGAATATTCATTCTGTCATAATTATCTATAGTTTAATTCGAAGTCAATAATTAGGAGTGGTCTATAAATAAATATTATATTTATTACTTTGTGCTTTTAAGATGGTTATATAATTAATAATATAAAAAGTAATAGCAGGGATTATAATACTGTGAATCAAATTTTAAAGTAACAATTTGTTTATCAGTACTACTTGTAAGTAGATAAATTCTACTCAATTAGTTTAAAATTTTATTTGATAGTTACATAATAATTATTTTATAAAGTTAAAAATAAAATTTTGAATAATTTTTTATATTTTACAACTCTTAATTTGAAAATACCTTGATAATCATTGTTTTATCTTTTAAATTAGTTATTGATTTGTTTATTTGCATTCTTCTATTTGATTAATCAATTTCTTAATTATAAATTATTGAAGTAAGATTGTTTCATCTTTATTCTCTTCTTATTAAACATTTTTTAAAATTTCTTCTGTTTAATCATTTTCTAATAAAATATTAAAGTACATACATAACTCAGGTAATAATGTATCATAATCAATTTATAATTCATGTAATAATTGAATCACTTTATTGTATTTTGATATAGTTTCACTATATTTTTCAACACTCAAATTTTCATCCTCTGTCATTTTTTGATATTATTTTCTTAATTATTCTTGATCATTTGTCTAATATAATTATATATAAATATACAATTTCTATTATTTTTTATTAATATTTATCTGTTTGTTTGATTACTTAATCAATATCATTTAAAATAACTTATTTCTCTTTTTTAATCAAGCTTTTTAATCCAATAATTAATTTTCTTAATATTTAATTAAATTCTTACATGTCCTCAGATTTTTGTTGTTGCTTTAATGCTTAAGTTATTGATTTCTAACTATCCATATAAATTTTAGATGATTTTAATGAATCAAAAGGAATTTTCCTAAAGTTTACAATTATGTTTTACTATTCTGATCTTTTTACTTATTGAATTCTTATAGTATTTTCTTTCTTCTATGTGTTTTGTTTAGAAGAGCTTGAAATATTAATTATAAAATTACTAATTGCTAATATTTGGAGATTTATGAGGACTTCTTGATGAATCAAATGAAGACTTATGTATGGATCTTTATTTTATTGATTTGAATAAGGGCTGTCTTTAAAATTTAAACTTGATACTTTTGAGATGTAAAATCAATAGATGCATAATTTTTATTGAACAATTAAGATGCGCTTGATTCCTTAAAAGGACTAAATTTATTCAAAGGTGATAATCCTGAAAGTTTAGATTTAAAAAAAGAAATTTGCTTTAAATCTCTTCTTTATTTATTTAAAACATTTCCTAAAGGTTATTCTTGCTTTTTATTGTTCATATTTTTGATTGTCGTAAGTAACTTAATAATATTTTAAATTATTTATCTAATATATAATCATATTATCAAGATCAAGATTAATCATTCTGCATATAGAAGCCATTCATTAATTTTAGTAAGAATAGTTATTAATTTTGTAAGTAGTTTAGTCATTTTCTATAAATCTCCAACATCAAAAAGTGGTTCAATTTCATCAGCCTTTCTATTAGATTAAGGTGATTTATTCAATTCAATATGTTAATAATTGACTAAACACCTATTTGGACTTAAATGATTTAACATTACTGGAGTTTTGAGTTCTCCTAATCTCATATGAGAATGAGGAAGACTTTTAAGTTTTTATACATCTAAATTGCCTTATTCATTAAAAAGTGAATTAGCATTTTATTATTTAGGAGATCTTTTTAGAATTATTAATAATATTTACCTTATAAAAAGATTAGCATTTTTTGCTTCTAATTATGCTTTTTTTAAATTAATTCTATTATGTAAAGGTTATTGTCTTATAGAAAAGTTGAGTAATCTATTTTTTTATCTTTAAGATTTCACTATATTATTAGAATTTAAATTCAATTCATGTGAGTCTTAATTGAAAACAATCTCAAATGGTTCATCATCTGAAGAAATATCTAAATTATTTTCATCAATTATATAGTTGTCCTTTTTACTCTTTCCAATTGATCCTTATTCAAATTTAGAAATAGCAAGTCGTTTCAAAGAGGAATTGAATTTCTAGGATTAAATATTAAAATATACTAAAGATTCACCATTTATCATTCTATTATGAAACAATTAAGCCATTTTTATATTACCTTCATAATAATAGTATTTTCCTAATTATTCATAACCTTTGAATTCAGAATTTACTAATCCAAGTTTCCAACTACACATCAAATATTTAGTGATATATATTTTTGCCTATTTCATTCTTAATTTAAGAAAGCATTAAGATAAAATGCTATAAGCTTTAAGTTTATATTTGAGAAGTGAATCTGAATCAGAGAAACGTTTTGCATTTTTAGCAAGTTAAATAGAATAATATAAGAGATTATAATATTTAGCAATTTTGGCAAGTGTTAGACTGATTAGAATTTTAATATCTTAAATTTAATAATCATGAATTATACCTAAATTCCTAAATTTGATTATTTAATGGTTGATTTCTTAAATAATGTCAATACAATAAGATCGTTTTGATTTGTTGATTAAAATCTTTCTTAGTTTATTGATAATATACTCTATAATCTCTCTGTTATTTTGGAGCATATCTTAACTAAATTTATAAAATAAGCAATAATTACATAGGGATTGTTGGATTATTTTATTTTAATTTCTATTCTTCTTTGATTTTTTCAATTTCTTCTTTGAATGTATTTTATATATTGTTAATAAGTATATCGATTTTGTTTTTATAAAGTCTTTAAGAAATTGTTTATTTTTTAAAGAAGTAGCAATCATTAGTTGAAGGTTCTGTAAAAATGTTTTCATTATTATGATAAGCATTAGCAGATATTTATAATACATCATAGGTTTTTTCAATTGTTTTTATGGCACTCAAACGAGAGAGTGATGGATTATTTTTGGATTAGAAATATTAATAAAACATATAAATTAATTCATCAGAGATCTGATTGTGGATAATTTGTTCTGAATCTTTTATATTCTTTTTCTTTTCTTGGTCGTTCACGATATTATTATAACTAAAATTTTTCTTTATGACATTTTTAAATGAATTTCTCTTTATCAATAGTTACATTATTTTCCTAGATGTATAAGATTGCCTTTTTATTTGTATTCTCTCTATCTTCTTTATTGCATTGATATATTTGTTCTTATATTAGTTTATGTAATTTATCAGCTTTTCGAATAGCTTTGTATTCATCATTAACAATTAATTCTCTAGTATTTGATTAAGGTTGAGGTTTCTTTTAATGATAGATAATCTTTTCACAAGATTCAATAATGTCAGTTGCTTTTCTATATGCAGGTTCATCTATAGTTTAAGAACGAATTAGACGATTAAGATTTCTTTAAGAACCCATTTTTTGTATATTTTGAATAGAGAGTTTACGTTTGCTTTCAATATCCATTAATATTTATTATTGGGATCGATTGTGTATTTTAGGCAATTGATAATTCACATTAATTCCACCATAATCTTAAAGAATATAAGTATCTAATAAAGAGTTTAAGGCTGCATTTTTAGGTTTTAGAAAGTAATGAGTATAATTATTGATAGTGTTTTTGAGATGATAAATATTTTTGGTTTACTCCATAATAATTAATCAATTTGAAGTATAATATATTTTTCAATAAAATTCGCAAATATTATTTCTAAATTCTTTATTGCCAAAGATATTCAAAATTATTTTATGAACTCAAAATTAATAAATCATAAACAAAGCAAGAACAACTAACAAAGAAATAAAATGCATATAATAACATAAAAATAATTCGATACAATTCTTTTGAAAATTTGGAGATAATATATTATTATCATCTTTCAATTCATTCTAAACATAATTGTAGAATGAATAATTACATCTTCATTCAAATAATAAAGATAGACAGTTCCTAGATTCATTTTAATTAATTCAAAAGCATATATTCGAAAAAACATTAAATTATCAATTATTTCTTCATCATCTCTCTTTCATTATATATAAAAATAATTATATTTTTTATTATCAATCAATAAAATTTAATTTTTTGGGTAAAAATTAAATTTAATTTAAAGTGTCCCAATATTTATATAAGGAAGATAATTTTAACGATAGTAATTACAAATTATAATATTATTGAGTCATTTAATATATTTTTAAATAAATTTCCATCAAATGTTTTAAATTGATTAAATTTATCTACTATTGCATATATTATTAAATAAATTATGAATTATTTAATTTATTAATATTAACTAAAAACGAATTTGATTTAAAAGCTAGTTTTAAAATAAGCACAATAACACAAGGAATCAAAATGGATCCGAAAAACTTAGTATCAATTTTATAATATGAAATGAATAAAATAAAACAAACCTTAAAATTATATATATAATATTAAGTTAGATAATTGAAGATCAATAAATAAGGGATAAATGCATTCAATATTTTTTTAGATCAATATATTATTTGTAAGATTAATGACTGAATAATAGAAATTTAAGTGTCTGTTATTGTAGTCACAAAAAGAGTTAGAAAATAATAAAGATAATAGATTTGAATAGAAATAATTTTAAAGTATTTGATTTTGGATAAATTATAAGAAAAACTTTAGATATACTATAATTCTGAGAATAAGAGTTAAATTTTATACATACTCTTATTTTTGGTTGTTTTCCATTTATCGTTAGAAATAATGACAACATTCGTCTCAATTATAGAGTACAAAGAATTAATTATCAATTTATAGATTCCATTATGAGATAGTAAGGAAAGTCAAAATTAATCATTTAGATAAAGAGTTGAGATCAATATAATAATGAATGAGATAGTTTATATTTATTCTGATATATTAATTAATTAATTAATGGTATATAATACGATTGAGATGATAACAAATAAAATGTTATGAGATGGTACTTTTGATGAGATGATATAAAAATGAAAGTAGTTCAATTTATAATGTTCTAGTAATTGAGAGAAAATTAAGAAATAAAATATTTTGGTTTATCTTATTTATCAAATGAAATATCTTGATTATTAATATTACATTAAATTTTAATAGGTGAGTAATGGAATTAAAAAATTAGATTTTATTAGTTATATTGATACCTATAATTTTGATTCTAATGTTAGCAGTGTTGTAAGTGGGATTGCTTGGTTTTGTGAGTATTCCAAGTTTTTAGGATTCTTTATTAGAATTTCATATAAATAGACATTTGAACGGGTTATAAATAGAGATGAACATAATATAATAAGTATATAATAGTTTGATGATAGGAAATATATATCCAATATTAAGCGTATTTAAATTAAATATTTGGTGTCAGTGCACATTTGAGACATTATTGTTTTGGTGAGTTTTAAAATTATTCATCTTGGTACATACAATAAAGTTTATTTAGGACTTTGGATACATAGTAAATAGCACCATTTTCATTTTCATCTGGTGAAATAACAGATGAAATTTACACAGTAGCATGGAGTCATTCTAATTATACGAAATTGTAATAATTATAAAGAGAAAATGATCCTTTAAGTTTTTTAATGAATAAGATTACCTAATCATTAATATTATCAGATATCATAATAAAGTATTATATGAATAATGTAAAATAGTAATACAAGATCACTTTCTTAAGATTTATAGATAGCAACTAATGATAGAAAAGATGATTAGACACTCATTCCAATAAATTATGCATCTTTAATGGTTCATTGTACAGATTCGTTAGTAGTGAGAATACCTTAATTCACAAAATATTAATAAATTTTGTTGAAAAATATTAATACTACAGATTGGTTACCAAAAGAAGAATTTAAATTGGATTCAACATTGAATTTTACAATTTCTTATGAATAGAATGATTAATTTACATTGGACCCATCATTGACAATAAGTTAAATAATATCTTAAGAAAATGATAAGAAATGTTATTTGACAGCAAAGATTTCAAATTCTTATTTGTTAGATTTAACAACAAGACATAATAAATAACATATTAATCAAGGAGAGAGTGAACATGAGTTATTTACAGCAATTATTAATAATTAATTTACAACTTTAGCACCTAAAGATTTCAGCAATTTGGCAATATCTGAATCTATAATCAAATATATAGTAAAGACTAAAAGATTTAGTGAATCTTCTAGTATTACATTAATTGAAGATTTAGCACCATAAATAATTAATAAATGTAAGGAATTGATACATAATATAACATTAAATTCAACATCTCTAGCTTATTCATTTGGTTTAAATAAGTTTTATTTATTATTTTCAAAGGTTAATATATATTCAACAAAGAAGATATCATTAATAACTGCACCAGAAAATGGAAAACGATATGTATATGTTGAACCGGAAGAAAATGATTTTGAAATGCCATCCTTTATATTAGTTCATTATTTTGAGGAATAAACTCTTATTTAGGAACTTTATGAGGGTACATCATTAAATAATGTAAGAATATTAGAAATAATAGTTTTAATTGTTATTATTGTATTATCTATTGGTAATAATATATACATAAATATTAGTAATATTTTTATTTGTTTGGTTTACAGCAAGTAGAATTGGGTTATCTTTTGAATAACCAATTAAAATCTTAACTGATTTTATGAATGGGATTGATATTTAAAATATGGATTAGGAGGAAGAATTAAGTAATTATTAGGAGTATTTTAATTCTTTTGAGATTAAATCATTATTTCAAACTATGAATATATTTGTAACAACTATTAAATATTCTAATCAAAAATATTCTAATTCTAAACATTCTGATGCTTTGGCATTAATGGAATTAAGTAAGGCTAAAGATTTTTACAAGAAAGAAATTGGAAATATGAGTGCTGTAGGTATATGTGCAAATAATATTGGTATATTACATATGAAAGGAGGTAGAGTATTTGAAGCTATTAATGAAATGGAAGAAGCCATATATATTGCTAAATTAGAATTGATTGAAATTAAAGAATTAAAAAAATGGTGTCTAAGTATGTAGGCTGCATTATAAGAACCAAATCTATATTAAAATTTTAAATTAAGATTAAAAGTATTAGCATAAAAGTTTAAATAATAAATGAAAATTAATTGGATAGGTGTACAAATAAGTAATTAAGATATTAAATCAAAATAGATTGTAAATTCATAATCTCATATTAATAAACCAAGAATTAAATAAAATAAAAATTAATCTACAACTTAATTATTTTAAAAAACTAACATACCACATATTGCATTACTTAATACTGGAACATAAAATAAAAATAATACGATACAAACTCCATCATAAATAAAGAGATAAAGTGGAAGAATATCATTTGCAAATAATAAATAACATTTATAACCAATAAATTCTATTGATTAAGAATAATTACCATATTAATCACCTTAGCATTCTCCGAATATAAATATTAATAGAGCTAATAAATATTAAAGTGGTCATTCATATAATTAAAGTAGTATTTTTAGTTAGAGATTGGATTTGAAAGAGAGTATCATTCAATTAGATGATAGATATAAAGAAGAAGAATATAAAAATGATGAAGAATAAAGAATAATTGGAGATTCTGGATAATCAACAGAAGGCATGTCGGAATTGTAGATGATTGAAGAAAAGATTGCAGAATTAATGAAAAAAAAATAATTAGCGAAAGCTAAATTATTGAATAGATAATTTTAATTAGCTTAATTTATGTTTACTATTTGTATGTAAAATGAAATTTTCATTCCAGAAACACTTAAATTATTTAATGATTTTGAAGCTATTGCAGAAAAAGATTAAAAATTTACTTAAAGCAATGTAGTCAGATTAATTAATCTCTATGTTAAAAAAGCTTTATGCTATATTTAAATAGGAGATATATATAATTTTAAAATATCTGAAGAAAAAGCATAAGAGTATTACAATAAATTAAATGAAAATTTTACTTCAGAATATAATTAGGTAGAGTAGGATTTCAATTTTGTTGATATGTTCAAAAATGTACCAAAAGAAGTTTTACTATCTAAAATTATGTAATTATAAGCCATATATTAATTAATTGAAGGAAACTTTAAAACTGGTGCTGAAATATTAACATAAATAATAGAACTTGGTGAATATTATGATCCTGAAGTAAGAGATTTCTGTTTAATGGTTTTAGAGAAAATATTTAATTAATTTAATATTTCTCCATTACCTATCTTATAATTCAGAAACTAAATTTCTATTAATACTTATGAAATTTTATTTATGATTGATTACTCTAAAGAAATGACTATAGAATAAATTAATTTATCTCATAGTATTTGTACTAAGATCTTTCATATATTATAACCTTAAGATTTAGTTGGTATGTATGGATTTAACAATTCAATTCATGAAGCATTTCCATTATAACCAAAAGGAACATATAAAGATTTATTAACTAAATAATTGTTTATGGCTATTACTAGTCCTGGAGGTAAATCTAAGTTATTCTAATCCTTAAAATATGCTGTAAAGAATTTTTTTGAACATAAAATTACAATTTATGATAGTGAATAATAGAAAAAGTAAAATAAAAATATTATTTATGAAAAATAAAAAATAAATTTGCCACCAGTTGCAGAAGAAGATGAAAGCTAAAGTATGATTGTTGAATAAATAGATGATAAAAGTTAACATGTAATTTTTAGGTAATTTGATTTAATATTATATTCTATTTTAGTTAAGATTATTAGAGTGAGGTAACTAGTTAATCTGAGTCTGATTTTGAAGATGAGAATTTATAATTTTTTAAAAATGTTAATATAGATTAAGATAAATCATAATCAACAAATGATTTTAGAGATCAATATAAATTTATTTGTCTCTTTACTGAAGGTATTTATATAATTAAATTTATATATTAGTAAATAATAAAATTAATGAGAAATCTTTATTAAAGTTGAAATAAATTATGGATAATAATTAGGTTGATCTTATGGTATTCAATATTGCTAATAAAAATGGGAATATGTTAGAATTAAAGAAAATGTCTAAAATCACTTCAAGAAGCATTTTTGTTAATGCTACAGCTAATTTAGAATAATTATTTGGAAAATCACGATAAAACCAGTTATAGAAAAAAATGTATCTAGAATTCTTTTGATTGATTTGAAATTTTATATAATATTAATACTAGTATCATTACTAAGCTGAATAAGCTTAGCTCATCTAAAATTTATGATGCAATGATCTAATACTTGCAAATCTTTTTAAAGTTGATTCAGTCTTGCAAGTTCTTTTAGTAGGTTAAGATGATTTATGATCTGAAAATGAAGAAAGATTCTTATTTCTTATGAATTATTAAATGGGTCGTTTAATAAAATTATCGAAACTTATTTAAGATAGTGTTTTTTATTTTCTTTTTTAGCATAGAGATTGTGGACTATGTACATCTGATGTAGATACATTTAAAATATGATTTTGCATTGATAAAAGTTCTGCTTAGTATTGCTGAATTAGAGGAATTAATGTTGACTGACCAGATTAATTTCGTATATTTACTATAGAAATTCTAGCCTTTGATAATCTTTTACTACTTTTCATATTTGCTTATCTAACCTTTCTAAATTTAAAATAAGTTAACATTAGTTAAACTGCTCTTACATATATCTTGAATCTATAAATTATTTTTTAATGATGAATTTGTTTAACACTAAACTTTCCTTATGAAATCAACCTTTTCCACTTACTTCCATAAATTCCATGAACCTATTCATTTGAACTTTAAGATCTATTACACCTTTAAATTAGAGAACATTTTATTTTCTAAGATTGAATTTAACTCTTTCCCATTAAATCTGGAATCAATAAAGGTTTAAGATGAATCATATAGCTTGGATCCATTGTTTTCTTTAGATTCTCAAATGGTGAAAGTAACTTTCTTGATTCATTATGAAGGCTTTTATAATAAAAGGGCCCTTTTAGTCTAGGGCTTAAATCTTTATAAATCAAAAGCGGACATTAGGATATTAATTGTTAACTTGTTAAACTGTTCATTTTTCTATTTTATGGTACTTACAATAAATAATATAATAAATAAGAGTGATTTTTTACAAATAGTAATGATTATTTTAAATTTATTCTTTAATGATTCATTGTGTTAGATTTATTAAAATAATTATCAAATTTTTAATAGAGATTAAGACCATAATATAATTAGAATAGATGAGCTTATTAAATAAATCATATTTTAAATCATCAAAATGGTATATAATATATCTATATATTATGTTGTTTGTTAATTAAATTAATTTTAATTAAAATCACAATCATAAGATTATAATATCAATCACTTTAAATTGATTAGATGTGTTCTATGTAATAATTTAAAATTTTTAAAGCGTTTAATGAGCCAGATTTCATTTGTATTTGTTGAATGATAAAGAATGATCGTTAGATTTAACACACAAATTTTAATAAATTTATATTGTAAAAATATCAAAAACTAAGAAATTGCTTAAATATGTTTAATGTAATTGAAGAAGATAATTTTATTTTAAATTAACATTTTTATTATAATAATTTTTGTTTCATATATTAAAAAAGCATTGTTTTACTTTTGAATAATTAAACTAATGATTAAATGTCGTTAGATGTTAAATATGAGTGTGAATATAGGATAGGTTTGATTTAGTGATAAATTATTTTAGATTTATTTTAAACTAAGATTTCTCTAAAACAAAAATAATTCAGATTCATTTCTTTTTTTAACAAAACATTGATAGACATTGAGGCTTTAAAATAGATTAAATTGAATGTGAACTTTTACGAGGGGAATCTAATGGAGAAATTAATTTTGAATCTAATTGGCAACTACACACTTGATTTTATAAGCTAAATCTAATATGTTTTTTCTTTTTTTTAGTTTTAGTGTCAAACTCTCCTTTAAAGAAATTGCTTTGAGGAGTAGATGAAGACAAATCTTCTACATCAGATTCTGGATATATCTTTTCTTCTATATCTCCTCTTGTCTTGGTAATTTTGATAATTTCAACTATCTAAGATGGTACATTGAAAATATTTCTTAAATTTTACATCATAATTATTAATATATTCTGAATATCTTTAGAAGCGATTTTAAAGGTTTATTCACTCGTAAATTAATATTTTTTAGAATGTTGAGGATTTACTGCTTAAGAGAAGATTAGTACATTTAAAGATAATTAAATTTAATGAAAAGATCATTAAGATGTAGTGGACAACTTGAAATTGAAGAGAATAATTAGTGAAATTACTATGGGGTAATTTATAAGATGAATAGAGGTATAATACTATAGAATAATAGTTAAATTATTTAAATAATTATATTTAATATATAGAGAGATATAACATAAATATGCAGGAAGGGTATGATGATGATGATGGAAATTTCTAAGATGATTAAGATCAAAATGAAGAGGATTATGATTAATTTAATTAAGTTGATCAGATGGAATCTAATCAATTTGATAACTGTAGATATATTTTTATTATATTTGGTTAGCATAAAAAGAGAAATACTAATAAGATAGGAATTATGGTAATTATTAGCCAGATTAATAAAAATAAATTGAAGATAAGATATCAGAAGATTTAGAAGAAAAAATGAAAATGTTAGATGAGTATTCTAAAGATAAAAGTGAAGAATAGATACTAAATATTAGAATGCATTAATTAGCATTAGCTAAAGTATTAAATATTTTTGAATATGAAAAGATTTTGGTATTTACACATGGAAAAGGCTAATTTAAATTAGTGAAAGCTCATACAAATATAGGTGAAGCATATTTGAATTATAAATGTTATGAATAAGCTATTGATCATCTAACTTTAGCTTTAAAGAAGAATGCGAAATTATATAATGAAGAATAGGAAAGTAAAAGTTATAATGCAATCATACTTACATTATTAGGAAAATGTTATTTAGAAATTAATAGTTATGAAGAGTCTTTAGATTTATTAAAGAAGGCTTATGAAACATAATGTTAAATTTATGGAGATGAAACCGAACATTCCATTTAAACATTGACTCTTATGTCTAATTGTCATACGTAATTCATATCATTAATATTAAAGTAAAATGAAAGATTATGATGCTAGTGAAGAATGTATTACTAAAGTGTTTGCTATTACTGAAGCTAAATATGGATATAAGTCAGAATAAAGTGCTATTTCATATATTGAAAAAGCAAAGATATTTGCTTGTTAAGAAAATTGGAGAGAAGCTATTTAATGTTAAACTAGTGCTATTGATATGCTTGTTGAGATTAATTATCATAAAACAGAATATGTTGCAGAACTCTATTCATAATTATCTACTTATTTTGAAAAAATTCAATAAATTGATGAATAAATCGCATGTCTTTAAAAGGTTAAATAAATTTATATTGAATTATATACTGCATAAGATAAAAAAGTTATTAAAATTAAAAGACAAATTGCTATCATTTAATTAAAATAAGAAAGACATTAAGAAGCTCTAGCTGAATTGTATGAAACTGAAGATTTAGAAGTCAAAGTTTATGGAGAAGGTAGTGTCTAAGTAGCTAAAACTTAAAAAATTATAGGTATTTTTATTTATTTTTTTAAATCTTAGGAACTATTTTATTGTTAGTTCAAGAATTTAGAGATGCTTTAAGCTATTTCTAAAAGAGCTTAAAAACATTTGAAGAGAATGGAATGAAAAAAGCTGTAGCTGAAGTTAAATAAAAAATTAAATGTGCTAAAGAAATGAAAGAAAAAGGAAAAGGTTAATTAAATTTAAAAGATAGATAAAATTTGATGTAAGATTATTGAATTTAAATATTAAATATATAAATATATATAAGTTTTTTAGAATTTTATATCATTCTACTTTTTTAGGAGATTAAATTTCATGATCAGTACGATTCATTTTTATCAATTCACTGGAATTATGTCTTTTGATCAATTCACTTACCTCTGATTGTTCTTGATTGATTTAATTATCTTCTACTTATAATTATGGTTTTTAGCAAAATCGAAAAGAGTTTTTTAAAGCAATTTTATGTAAATCTTTTTCTTTTGATATTTTATTTCTTCCAGGAGAAGCACAATCTTTGAACATATCTATGTTAATTAAAAATATACCAGTGCCTCCATCAAAGCTATTCTATCTTGATAATTTAGCACTAAAAATACTGAATTTAGATTATTAAGGTTGTTTTTATTATTAAGATTGAGAAGTAGATTAAGCATCAATTTATTTGATCGAAACAGTGGAACAATTTGTTAAGGTTTCAATAGTTTAAACATTTCCATTATAAGCTGGTTTTCGCCATTATAATTATTGTGATCCTACTAAATCCTCCGAACTAATTAATTTATATATTACTTCTGAGTATTATTTTTTAAACCAATAGTATATTCTATATCATAATTGGCTAGATTATTTAAGACTTATTATTATTAATCTTCTAAGTCTTATTAATCCTATTTTATTTATTGAGAAATTTTAGCGAATAGTTTATGTTTTAAGCACTTGATAAAATATATAACAATACTTACATCTTATGCAGTTGGTCTATCATTGATTTTACTAGATAACATTTTTTTTACTAAATCTTAAAATTCAATAGGAGTCTTCAAAAAGGCTGGTAATCCAAAATCTATTTAACAGGCTTTATTAGCTTTTAAAATTGCTTTTTAATCTTAGCCAGGAAATGGCTATTTACCAGTCTAATTTTATAGATTTTAGAATATACAATTAATATATACAAGATGACTCCAGCACTAAAAATATCACATTTAGTATCATAAATAGGTCCTCCATCGATATAGAGTAAGATTTCAGGAGCTACAAAACCTGGAGTACCACATCTTTTGAATATTAATTCTTAATCAGAAAAAGCAGCTAAGCCAAAATCTGCGATCATTATATTATAATTATCTTCTTTAGATTTAAATAATAGATTTTCAGGTTTTAAATCTCTATGAAATATTTTTTTTTAATGCAAATGATCTAAAGCACTTAATAAATTAAATGCAATTTTAATCAAATCATCTGATTTCAATAATCCTGTTATATATATAGATACTAAATATTTTACCTTTTTCTTTGACTCTTTAAAGTAATTCTCCTCCAACAACTAATTCTAAAACAAAGTAGATTGAATTTTAAGTTTCATGGACTTCTAATAATTTAACAATATTTGGATGTTTAATAGCTCTCATTACTTACATTTCATTAAGAAGACTTTCTTTACCCTATTATATTAATAGTTTATACTTTTAATTATTCATTTATAAATTATTTACTAAATGCTTTAATAGCATATGATTATCCATTAGAATTAGCTAAATAAACTTTAGCAAAACTACCTTTACCTATCATTTTCTCAACATGATATGTTTCATGAAAAGAAGATAGTAAACATTTTCGTTTTAAAATAGCTTACCATTATAAAAAAACAACAGAATTTGATGTGAAAACTTGAAGTGTCTTACTTGCATAAGTTAATTTGAATCCATATAATTAATTTTCAGAATTAAGTTGCAAAATATCATCTTCTGGTAATTTTGGAATTGTATCAAAATGCAGTATATTTAATGGAACTCGCTTTAAATTTTATTTTGGAGAGATCTTATACAAAAATTCTTCACCTAATACAAGTAAAGTATGTTTGACTTTAACTTCTTTTCTAGCCTCTCTAATAAATTCATGTTCAATCAAAAATTCTTATGACTTAAATGAATGTTAATCAATACATCTAATTCTGTTGTATGAGTCTATTCCCAAAAATTCTAGTTCATCTCTTATACAAAAAATGTTAACATGGATGACTCAATCTTTTTCTCTTTACTCATATGTAAAAATTAATAAAATAAATATATAAGCAGATATACAATACTTTTCATTCATCCTTATTTCTATCTAAAAAGCTCTTATTTTCAATTGAAATCTAAGCAAATATTGATTTTTTTGAAGTAAAAAGTCTAGTCAGTAATAAAATAGCTGAAGTTCTAAATAACATGGTTCCGATTTCCATTATTTTATATCTAATATACCTCGCTGTAAACTAAATAATAATGTATTTATTTACTAAATTTACAGTCTATAACACTGGAAAGCTAATGAAATAAATTCCACCATACAAACCTAATAATAATATAAATTATTAAATTTTTGTGTTTTATTTGTTATATGTATCTACCAGTCCATTCATAAAATAGATTAATTCACCAATATAAATTAAAGAAGCTAACCAACCTACCCATCCTTCATATGAATGATCTTTATTATATGAATCATACTCAATAAAGCTTACTCCAACTATTGTTATTTAAAAGAACCCTATTAATAATGAAATGGGTAAAAACAATTCAAAATTGTCAAATTTACTAAAATTTATTTGCCAACCCCAAGATAACATCACTAAAATCATTGTTAATGAAAATTATGATGCTACCTAAAATATTACAGAAAACACTTGTAAGAACAACTATCCAGCTCCATTCTCACTATATATCCATAAATGTAATGTTAATAAACTGTATGAAAATGTTTCTAATAATAAGGTTATTACTAATAAAAATAATGGTAAACTAAACTCTTCATACTTTCTTTGCTTCTCTAAGATTTGATTACCATTATAAATTAACATTATTATGTCAATCAAGGCGATAACACCTATTATTTATAAAATTCCAAATTATTCTAATGTAAATTCTGTTCCACCAACATTTTTTATATGTAATTCCACTTCTAATTTAACTTTATTTTCATTTGGAAATGAATTTCTTAATTAATTTTGACAATCATTAAATGCAAAATACCATAAATGTGCTCTAATTTTTGCTGTTAAACTTCCTTTATATTCAAATCCACTTTTAACAGGAACCCAAATAGTTTCCTTTCTTCTTGCAACACTACCTCTCTAATATTATATTTTTATCTATCTTTACATCACATTCACTCTTTTCTATAGCATTTGGCCATTCTTCATCTAAGTATAATTCATATTATATTGGAATTGTTCTTTCATCATTTTCATCAGCATCTTTGAATTGGAATCTAATCTAAAAATTATTAATACGTTAATGAATAAAAAACTTCTCCTGTTTCTGCACCAAATTTCGATATATAATGCCAATCTTGTAATTATTATTTAATAAGATAGCTATGCTTGATTCTTTTGGCTTAAGTCAAATAAAGTAATATTAAAACAAACAAGTATTTAATCATAAAATTTATTAATATATGAAAATATTCATTTCCATATAATTCTTAAATTAATATATAATTAATAGTAAATCAATATTCATTCAATATTAAAAATGAGAATTAATAATGTAATGATTTCAAACAATATATTGATCTCATTATTAATAAGAACTGATGAATTCATATTGAGATTTTTAAAGAACTTTACGTTGTAAATGTTATGTAATATCATTATTTAGTTTTTCTTATTCTTGAGAATAGTTTTAGATTCTCTTAATTCTCTTTTAATTAATTAGAATAATTTATTTTAATGCTAAATCTAGCTTAACATCATGTTATTCATTAATTATTTGGAAATAGGGATTAATAATATTTTGTATTATTAATGAAAAATATAAAAATAACTATTTAGAGTACTCATAGCTCGCCATGATTTGCTGGTTTTTGACGATAAGTACTCTAAATTTGACAATCTTTACGAAAATAGCCAAGAGAATTAACGCTACACAGAATGTAGCAATACTCAGGGTTTTTGTAATGGTTTCTGGGGTTGTATGACTTCCTAACCTATTGGAAAAGAAGAATGAACATAAGGATTGTCAATATACTATTATTTCTATTTTAAATAAATACATTTTCATTTTATAAGTAAATTATATGGGATTTATAATTTTAAATTTATTTTCTCATAATTTAGTTCGAGAGCTCTCAATAATTATTATTCAAATTATTATAGTATTATTGAACTGAATTCAAATGGGAGTTCAAAATAAAGAATTATAAATAAATAATTGAAATAATATATATTTATTTTTATGTTGAACTTCTAAAGTGCTCATCTACCAAAGATTGATAAGCGAAATAATAAAACTTCAATAGAGCCCACAGTTATTGATGAAATGCTGATCATGTAATTGTTTAATTAATTTCAAGTAAATCAGTCAAGGATTACAATACTGAAAATAAAATAACGATGGGAGATCAAATTATGTTGAATTCTTTACGTGTCATGTCATTATCATTTAAAAGTATATAAATTTGATTATATTTTTCTAGATATTTGGAAAATCGAAAACCTCTAAGGTTTGGAGAGATTAGAGAAGTTACAATTAGATAATAACATTATATAAAAAATTGAGAATTTGGATCATTTGGTCAATTTGCATTGGCTTGATCTCTCCTTTAATTTAATTAAAGAAATTGAAGGATTGGACAAACTAATCAATTTAAAAGATTTATCAATGTTTAATAATTAACTAACATCTGTTGGAGGTTTGGATAATTGTAAGTCATTAAATGTTTTATCTATTGGCAATAATAAAATACCTTCATTTGAAATTGTAACACAATATTTTAGTAAAGGAAAAGGAATGAAATTCAAGAATTTATAAGTTCTAAATGTAGCTGGGAATCCATTTACAAAAGAACCAGATTATAAAAATCATATAATTAATTCCTTACCTAATCTAAGATATTTAGATTATAGCTTCATTGATGAAGCATAAAGAAATTAAATAAGAGAATCAGATGAAAAATTTAGAACTGATGCAATTACATAAGAAGATTTTTTAAAACAAATGTAAAATTAAGAATAAGAGGAGAAAAATAATAATGATGAATTATTTAAAAGAAAAAGTGCAAGAATGGATTTAGTAGAAAAGTTAAGTGATGAATTAATTCAAGATGAAGAATTAGAAAAAGTTAAAACAATGAAAGGAGTTGAAGAAGAAATAAACAAATTTTAAGAAAAGATAAAAGAAACAGTTGAAAACCTTTAAAAGAATGTTATACAAAAGAATACTGCAAAATTATAATCTATAGAAGTAAATAAAGTAATTATTTAAAATAGAAATTTGAATAAGCAGTTAGAGCAAGGGAGATTAAGAGTGAAAATGAAACTATATTAACAATAAAAAAATTTGAACATCAAAAGAAATTGGCATTCAGAGCAAAAGAAAGAAATGAAGATGGTTGGAAATAGAAGTTAGAAGACTTAAATAAAGAAACTTAAAGACTTAAAGATAATTTACTCTCTACAGAGTTATAATTGATGGTGGATATAGAGGCAGCTTTGGGAGATTTTGATGGAAAATTAGGATTTATAACAAAAGATATGTCTGATTATGTTTCAGGGGATCATGGATTTAAGAAGATAGGTGATTTCATTAGAGAATTTGGAACTAAATTAACAGATATAGCGAAATTAGAATATGATAGATACTAAGTATTTGTTTAATAAGGAAGTGATCTAAGTGAATGGGATGAAGATTTATAAACAGTATTTTAATTAAATTAATTATTAGTTATTTGAAAATAAAGAAACACTTCTGGGTACTGTTAGTAATATTAAAGATAATTTATAATCAAAAGCTAATACTAAAGTAAATTGATCTATTGATGTTTAGGATACCAATATTACAACATCGATTGAAAGAGATATCAAATTATTGGTGACAAGTTACAAGGAGAAGCAATATGAAAGAAATAGAAAGAATGTACTTCAAATTAGCAAATAAATTGAAGAATACACTAAATAAATAAGTGAATTATTGTAGACACACTCAGATGATGAATCTGAAGGGAATTGATAATTATACAATTATAAATGTAGGTTATTCTACAAATATATTTATATTTTTAGATAATTTGTTTTAGGTTTAAATAAGAATAATATCTTACATTAAATTTAAGTTTGAGAAGAGTCCCATAATAATAATTTATTTTATGTATTAATATAAATTTGGAATAATTTATCAATTTAATAATTCTAATTTTACCTGAATGATTTGATAATTTATGAGAATTGTTCTAAATAAATTAGATATAAAGAGTTTGAGTTAAGACGGAAGGGGTAGTAATCATTATTACTTCATTCTGAAACACTCATATATTTTTTAGTTTAATGTATGATTACAAAAGTTGAATATTAATTAAAATTCATTTAAAAATGATTAGTGATGAACTTTAAAAGTATAAAGAGATGGAAGAGATTTTTCTGAAAGAATTTCAATCGAAAAAAGGATCATATTTTCTCATTTCATCACAGTTAAATATTCATACTATTCTTAAGATGGTTAAATAACTGGAAGAAGAAAGTAGGGTTCGAGGGTGATCCAAATCACTCAATTTCTTTGGGAAATATCAATAGTGATATTGGATGCAAACCTAAACAGGTTTTAAGATATGACCCAATTGATCATCATCCATGGAATACTCAATTAAAACCTAATTTAATTGAAGGCAAAGATTATGTTGTTGTTGATTCTAATATGTGGTAATATCTCAAAGGGTAATTCTAAAATATGTGAATTTAGAATAAATAAATAAAGAATCGATTTTACAATAGAAAGAGATTCATTTCTAAACAATGATGGATAAAGATAAATTTAAGCATATTTATAATGCATTAAATTTGTGCCCATATTCCCTTCAGCTATGATGAAACTTCAAACTACTATGATTGAAGGTGAATAATACATTTCACCAATTGCGCTAATAAGCGAAGTTGTTACTATTTTAAGCAAAACATTGAAAACAGTGTAAGAATAATATCTAAAGACTTAGTACATCTTTTAAATTTGTTACCAAAGACAATATTAGATTATATAAGTTAGGAAAAACTTGGAATCTAGAAAACCTTAAGACATTTTTATTGTAATAACATAAAGAAAAAAAATAATTAATTGAATTTACAGATATAGAATTCTTAAATCCTCTTGAAAATAAGTTCTTCAAAGACTATAACTTTGAAAAGGATTAAATTTTGTTAATGGATGCTAAAGAATTGGAAAAGACCTTCTCAATTTCAAATAATCTCTTTCAATTAGAAGAAAAATGCATAAATTGTTCATAATATTAAAATTTGAATTTTAATTGTGTTTGTAAAAAGGTTAAATACTGCAGTGAATCATGTTTATAGTAACACTAATATCATCATATACAAGTATGTGAAAAATAAAATGATACAGATGAAATACTTGTTAAATTAATTCCTAATTCTTAATCCAAATAAGGTCTAACAGGGTTAAGGAATTTAGGAAATACTTGTTATATGAATAGTGCTTTATAATGCTTATCAAATACACCTGAAATATCAAGATACTTTTTGGATAATTCATTCAAATTTGAGATTAATGCTTAAAATGCGTTAGGCACAAAGGGTGAATTTGCATCATTGTTTTCATATCTTTTAAAAAGGCTTTGGTTTGATAAATAATCATAAATATCACCATTTTAATTTAAAAGATTGGTTGGCAAATTGTCCCCCAACTTTGCAGGAAATGCATAACATGATGCATAAGAATTTATAACATTTACTCTTGATTTACTTAATGAAGATTTAAATAGAGTCAAAGTAAAACCATATGTAGAAATTCCTGACAATGATAATAGACCTGATGATGTTGTAAGTTAAGAATAATGGGATTGCTTTTAAAAAAGAAATGATTCTTTGATTGTTGATGAATTATATGGGTAATATAGATCAAAGTTGCAATGTCCTATTTGTGATAAAATATCTATTACATTTGATCCATTTTTAATGGTCAATGTAACAATTCCTTAAGAATAAAAAAAGGTTTTGGAATTTTTTGTTATTGATCCTGAAAACCTTTGGTTGAGTAAACCGGTCACTCATTATTATGAACCAGAATTGAGACTTAAAGAAGTTTTGTAATTTAAATCATAAGAATGGCTTAATTGTGAATGGGATCAAATCATTTTAACATTAAGCTCTACTTTTTCAATTGAAGAAGGTAGCTAATTTTTAATAATTTAGTTTTTTTGGATTAAAGATTAGAATTATTAAAAAAACAATTAAAACATGATAAAAAATTATAATTAAGAAGACTAACAGTCCAAGAATAAATAATTTAAAACGAATCCTAAGTTCATGTTCTCATTCACAATTAAATTTAAACAATGAGCAATTGGAAAAAAGATATAATTCCCACCATGTACTTTATTCTATCTCAACATTATACATATAAAGAAATTCATATGTTTTTCTTTGATTGTTTTTAAAATGTTCTAAAAAATTTTGTAGATTTTGATTAAAACTGGCTTAATTCAGAAAATCAAGAAGAAGTTTATTAACAACATGTTTTAGATAAGTATTGGAAAATCATGTTTAAATCAAATCAAAGGTATTAAGTGAATTGTTCTTATTGTTATAAAGCTTATTGTAATGATTGTCCTCTTGAATTTATTGATAAAATATTTGGTGATTGTTTTGAGAGGGAAGATAAATTATTACAGCCAGAAATATAAATCGTATGGCTTAAGCCTTGTAGAGAAAAAATTGAAGATATTTATACTGAATACCAAAAGATATTTGATCCTAATTATAAGCCCCCAGTCGTTAACTTAAATTGGGATAACAACCAAAAAAATAATAAATATAAATAGACTTATACTTTAGAGCATTGTTTAGAATATTCAACAAAGCCAGAATAATTACAAGTAGATAATACTTGGTATTGTAATGGATGTAAAGATCATGTGCAAGCTTATAAAACATTATAAATTTATAAAACTTCAAAGATCCTGATTTTTCATCTGAAAAGATTTAAAGATTCATATAAATTATTTAAATCAAAACTGCAAACTAATATATTGTATCCTGAAAAGTTAGATATGAGCAATTTTGTGCTGTATAAAGGTAAAATAGATTAATAAATAAATAGATAATAATAATTTATATGAATTGTATGCAATATGCAATCATATTGGTGAATCTGGTAGTGGGCATTACACTGCATTTTGCAAAAACAATGGAGAATGGTATAGATTTGATGATTCGATTGTCATCAAAGAGACAAATAGTATTGTTACTCCAAATGCTTATGTTTTATTTTATAGAAGAATTGATCATAAAAATGTTGAATATGATTTAGAAGCTAAATTAAAATAGAATATAGATCTATTATTAGCAGATGAAGTATTTAAGCAGCATCTGTAAAAACTATAAGAAGAAAATGATGAAAATATAGATACTTAAAAACAAGTTTCATCTTCTATGAATACATAATAAGAATAAAATAAGGAGGTCTTGGCTAAATTAGATATCAATTTAGTCAACGATTAATCTAGCAGTGATACAAATAATGGGGAAGATGATGAAAATGAAGATGAAAATTGATCATCATTTTCTTTAATTTATTATATAGAAATATAATATTATAACATTTTAAAATTTAATAGAATTAGATTCTTTGCTATAAATCAATAAGATTATGAATTCTTAGAAGCATTTATAAAAATTGTTTAATCTCAAGATTAAAAAGAAAATCTAAAATGTATACAATTGATGATATACAATACAAAATATTATAAAAAATTGGTGAAGGATCAGAAGGAATAGTTTATAAGGGAGAAAATATTTATAGCAAAGAAATCGTTGCTATAAAAGTATATAAAACAATCAATCAAAATGAATATAAAGCAATTAAAGCAATTAACAAAAAAAATTTCAGTCATATTATTCAAATAAAAGCAATACAATAAAATTAGAATTAATTTCCAATTATTGTTATGGAGTATGCTTAGGAAGAATTCTTCAAATTTATGTGTCAAAACGATTATTAAAGGTCAGATTACGATTAAAAAAATAAATATTTTCTTTAAGTAATTTTTAAACATGATTTTTTTTAGATGGTCCAAGGAGTTAGTTAACTTCATGAATTGGGATTATTTCACAGAGATTTAAAACCAGAAAATTTTGTATATATTAATAAACCAAACAATGAAAAAATTGTTAAATTGATTGATTTTGGTTTAGTTAAAGAAACTTCAAATAGGCTTAGGGCAACTGGTTATATTGGAACACCTTTGTATATAGCACCAGAGGTATTAAGAGGTACCTCGACTTTTTATGACAAATCAGTTGATTTTTGGTCTTTGGGAGCTATTTGGTACGAAATGTTAACATAAGAAACATTCTTCTAAGGTAATTTTAAATAATCATCTTAGCTAATTCAAATTAAGAAATGTATTAGAAAATCTACAGTATAGGCCAATCAGAAATTGAATCCTAAATTTAATATAACACAAAAATATAACAAAAAGAAAAAGATTTGATTAAAATGTTACTTAGAAAAAATTCTTATGAAAGAATTCAATTGCAATACATATTAGCAGCTTATAATTAAACAAATTAATATCACCATCCATTTTAATAAAATTATAATTAGATCAATCAACAATACAAATATGACCAATAGGAATTATCGAAATTAATTAGAGAGAAAGAACAAGAAAAGTAGAAATAATAGTAATTAGAACTGAAATAAAAATAAGAAAAGGAAGAATAAGAAAAAAAATAAAAATAAGAGAAGGAGGAATAAGAGAGAAACAGATAACAATAGTTATTAGAACTGAAATAAAAATAAGAGAAGGAGGAATAAGAAAAAAAATAAAAATAAGAAAAGGAAGAATAAGAGAGAAACAGATAATAATAGTTATTAGAACTGAAATAAAAATAAGAAGAATTAGAAAAAAAATAAAAATAAGAAAAGGAAGAATAAGAGAGAAACAGATAATAATAGTTATTAGAACTGAAATAAAAATAAGAAAAGGAAGAATAAGAAAAAAAATAAAAATAAGAGAAAGAAGAATAAGAGAGAAACAGATAATAATAGTTATTAGAACTGAAAGAAAAATAAGAAAAGGAAGAATAAGAGAGAAACAGATAATAATAGTTATTAGAACTGAAATAAAAATAAGAAGAATAAGAAAAAAAATAAAAATAAGAAAAGGAAGAATAAGAAAAAAGATAAAAATAAGAAAAGGAGGAATAAGAGAGAAACAGATAATAATAGTTATTAGAACTAAAATAAAAATAAGAAAAGGAAGAATAAGAAAAAAGATAAAAATAAGAAAAGGAGGAATAAGAGAGAAACAGATAATAATAGTTATTAGAACTGAAATAAAAATAAGAAAAGGAAGAATAAGAGAGAATCAGATAATAATAGTTATTAGAACTGAAATAAAAATAAGAAAAGGAAGAATAAGAGAGAATCAGATAATAATAGTTATTAGAACTGAAATAAAAATAAGAAAAGGAAGAATAAGAGAGAATCAGATAATAATAGTTATTAGAACTGAAATAAAAATAAGAAAAGGAAGAATAAGAGAGAATCAGATAATAATAGTTATTAGAACTGAAATAAAAATAAGAAAAGGAAGAATAAGAGAGAATCAGATAATAATAGTTATTAGAACTGAAATAAAAATAAGAAAAGGAAGAATAAGAGAGAATCAGATAATAATAGTTATTAGAACTGAAATAAAAATAAGAAAAGGAAGAATAAGAGAGAATCAGATAATAATAGTTATTAGAACTGAAATAAAAATAAGAAAAGGAAGAATAAGAGAGAATCAGATAATAATAGTTATTAGAACTGAAATAAAAATAAGAAAAGGAAGAATAAGAGAGAATCAGATAATAATAGTTATTAGAACTGAAATAAAAATAAGAAAAGGAAGAATAAGAGAGAATCAGATAATAATAGTTATTAGAACTGAAATAAAAATAAGAAAAGGAAGAATAAGAGAGAATCAGATAATAATAGTTATTAGAACTGAAATAAAAATAAGAAAAGGAAGAATAAGAGAGAATCAGATAATAATAGTTATTAGAACTGAAATAAAAATAAGAAAAGGAAGAATAAGAGAGAATCAAATAATAATAGTTATTAGAACTGAAATAAAAATAAGAAAAGGAAGAATAAGAGAGAATCAGATAATAATAGTTATTAGAACTGAAATAAAAATAAGAAAAGGAAGAATAAGAAAAAAAAAGATAAGAGGAAACATAAAAGATTTAATTAGAGTTAAAAAAGAATATGGAAGAAGAATATAGAATAAAAATTTAATAATTTGAATATAAGAAATTACTAGAAATGTAATAAATGAAAAGATAAATTGAAAACTAGAAAGCAAAAGAACTTGATGATGAATTAAAAAAGATTTACTAATAATAGAAATTAGAATTTGAAGATTAAATAAAATAAAAATAATAAGAATTAATTGCACAACAATAAAAGGCTCAATAATAAGAATAAGATACAAAATAGTTAGCTGAAATGTAAATCTAGTAATCAATATAGTTTTACAATCAACTGAATTAATTTAAAAAATAGATAGAATAAAATTAATAATAATATATTGAATAATATAAATAAAGGGAGCAATAGTAAAGAGAGTAAGAAATTAAAATATAATTAGAAACTTTTGAAGAAGACCTTAAAAAATAATTAGAAATAGAAATTTAAAATAAGTATTTGCTAGAATATTCAAAAAAAGTAGATTAATTGGAACAAAACTAAGTTTAAGTAAATTTAAAATAATTAGAAGAAAAAAAATAATCATTGTTAATTCTATTTTAATCGTAATACAATGCTATTTCAATTTTTATATCAAATCTAAACTAAAAATTATAGATAATAAAAAATATTGAAACTTAAGATTAAATGAAAACTGAGTTGATTACTATCATAAATAATTAAATCTAAAAATAAAATTAAACACTCAAAGAAAATGAAGATAGAAAATAGAATATATAAAATGCTTTTTAATAAGAGTAACTTAGAGGATAGGATAATTATATAACTTAGGAAATTTAATAAAATATATAAGAATAAAATAAGTTTATTAATTAGATTGAAGATAAATAAATGTTACTTTTAAAGTAAGTAAATGATAGATAAAAGATTGAATATTAAAAAATGAAACATGAAAAAGAAATGGACCAATTAAATAATGAAAAACAAAAATTTGAAAAATAATTTACTAATTTAAAATAACAATTTACTCCATTTTCAGACAATATTCAAAAATTTTAGTAAAAAATAAAGTTTTATGACGAAATTTAATAATAAAAATATGGATAAGAGAAATTGATGGAAGTTATAAAGCATTACTAAAAACTGATTTCAGATTTTTTAATTCTGGAAGAATAAGAGAAAATGATGCATTCACTTGAGCGATCTTGCTAAATTTTCAATTATTAATCCTTTAATAGCAAGATTGAGGAACTTTAATTAGCTTAAAAAAGACTTAAAATATCTATTGATGAATCAAATACATCTCTTGAATAAATTGATAGTAAATTTGTTGATGAACATCATAGATAAATATAGGAATTAGCTGATAATTTAAAAGATTTATAGGATAAATTTAAATATCTATATAAGAATTAAAAATATAAATAAAAAATAGATTAAATTATTATTCAAATAGGAGATTGTTTTGGCAAATTAAATTCTATGGAATTACTTTTAACTTAAGAACTATTTGAAAATTATCAATAATTCAATTAAATATAAGATTCAATCAATCAAAATTTAAAAGAATTTGAAAAATAATATGATTAATTGCATGAATAAATTCATCACGATTAATAAATTGAATTAATAAATGCTGAAAGAATATAAAAATTAAAAAATATAGATGCATAATTAAGTGAATTTTTAAATAAAATGAATCAATTAAAAATTAAGATAAATGATTTTATTAATTATCAATATTGCAATAATGAACAAACTAAGAACTTAGTACTGGGTAAATAAAGAAAGATAGATTAAAATATGAATTAAATTTAAGAATAATTCAAACTATTTAAAGAATTTAATTAATTTAATTCCTATCAAACTATTAATGATTAAATAATCTATTTAGAATAATTTGAAGAAAATTTAAATAATTTACTAATTAATGAAGAAGAATAACTTATCCAATTAAAGTTAATAGTTTAAAGAATAGGAGTTGAAAACAAAAATGAATAAGAAAAAGAAATTTTAATATTGAAGAATTAATTTTAATAAAAATAAATGCAATTTTCAAAAGAAATTTAATTAATCAAAATTGAAGCAGATAAGATTCAATATATAAAATAAATAAATCTAAATAGAGAAAATTTGTAAAAGGAACTTGATGACGAAATTTAAATATTAGAGAAATATTAGGAATT